TAAATTAGCGTCCTTAAATTTCGAAATATTGAAATTTCAAGCATATCTGAAATTTACCGTTATATGAAAAGCGGCCTCAATTTTAGTCCGATTTCAACAATTTTCAACGGTTTGCTTTTATGTGGCAAGCACAATAACCATACCGAGCTTGGTACAAATTGCTAGAACGGTTAGCGAGATACATATATGTGATCACAAGTGGGCGGTGCTACGCCCATTTTCCAAAATTTTGTCATAAACGTATTTCTTGGTAAAGAATTGTTGCAACCATCAAATTTTGAATAAATTAGCTTCAATATTTACTGATTTATCGAAGATTTTGTATTTCTCGAAATTACCGTTATATGGGATGTGGGCGTGGTTATTGTCCGATTTTAGAAATTTTCGGCCAGTTGGTATGCTGTACCAGGACCAACAACTGTGCAAAGTTTGGAAGAAATTGGTGTAGCGGTTACCAAGATATACACATGTAACCATAAGTGGGCGTGGCTACGCCCATTTGCCAAAATTTTGTAATATTCTTATTTTTCGTCTAAAACTCATTGCAAATATCAATTTGAGTGAATTATCTTCAGTAGTTACTAAAATATCGCAGTTTTCGTTTTTCTTAAAATTACCGTTATATGGGAGGTAGGCGTGGTTATTGTCCGATTTCGCCCATTTTCAATACCATCCGTCCTACGCCCAAAAGAAGTTCACGTACCAAGTTTCGTTAAGATATCTCAATTTTTACTCGAGTTATCGTGTGCACAGACGGACGGACGGACGGACGGACAGACAGTCACCGCTTAATCGATTTCTCTTTTCATTCTGATCATTTATGTATACATTTGTCTATATCTATCTCGATTCGTTTTGCCTGTTACAAACAACCGTTATGTGAACAAAATTAATATACCCTTGTGCACAAGTGCGCTCGGGTATAAAAAAATCGTTGAACTTATAATCTAACATAGAAATTAACTTTTTAAGCAGTTAGCAACGCATTGAAAATATTTTCGAAATAAAACGTGGAACCCCTTTCGTTTGCCACCTACATTATAATATTTAATTTAACTCTTCAACTCATTGATCTTAACTTTTGAAAAAGGTGGAAACTCTGCCGCTTCATTGTGAAAGAGCAACAAACAAACTCACACACTCACTCGATGTGTATTTTCTATAAAAAATATTTCGATTTTCTACAAGAAACCATTCTTTTCAAAATTGCCTTGTTAAAATACTTTAGGCTCAGCGGTGTACGGCGAACTTTTTTCTGGTACGGGCTAATGAACATACCTATGTTTGTACATATGAATGTATGTATTTATTTTTGTTTTCAATGGCAAACAACGTTTGCAAACATTAACCAACTATGTAACAAGATCCCCTAATCAAAGAGGCAAGAAAAAGTCTATTTCTGAGCGTTTTTGACATCTGCCTAAGAATGAAAACAAACAAAGAAAACGAAAAAGGCGCGGTGATTGAGTGCGATTATATACATACATAGGCATTTATTATAAAATTGAATAAGTGAAACTGAATTAAAATGAGCAAAAAGTTTTCATAAAATATAGTTTTCGTGATAGAAAGTGTGAAACACAAACACAGACGCATGGCATCAGCACAGCTCGATTTTTCAATGTAAACGTTCTCACCACAAAAATGCACCCAGTTTTCACGCAAATTTACCCCTCTCGACAAGAGGTAGAAGACAATATAAACAAAACCGAAAAATATCAAAATCGCTACGAAAACGTTTTTCTGAAAATCGATTACAAATACAACGATGGCTGATTAGGTGATTTGTAGTCGTTGGTTCATGAATTGCAAATGTACAAACATTAGTGATAAAGAACAGCCAAGATAAAATACATACAAGCAAAATAAACAAATATGCTGAGAAGGCAATAAAGAGTACGCGTAAAAGAAAAGTATGCATATAATAAATGGCAAACAAATTTGCACACCTAGGCAACGCCTTGAAATTCCCACGCGATCGCACAAAGTCCAACGTGGTTCTCTTGCTGATCGAAAGCGCATGATCGGTCTCATTGATATACACTCGTATATTAACTTTGATTATATGTAGTTGTATATGTCACATAAA